TGAATTCTCACGCTCGTTGTAGCACCATCGTACATGTCTTTAATCACACGAATATACACAATCCTTACTCCTTTTATCTAAAACCTTCCACAACACTTTTCTTGGTACCCTGTTATATGCCTTTTTCCAAATCAATAAAAGCCATGTGTAAATTTTTCTTCTCACTTCAATACCTCTCCATCATTCTCCTCACCAAGTACATAGCCTCTGTAGTAAATCTTCCTGGCATAAAACTAAATTGGTTCTTTAACACCAAAGTCTCTTGTCTCAACCTCCATTCAACCACTCTTTCTCACAACTATGAACATCCTCCTTATTATTGTAATTAGGGACCAAAACGCTCTTCCTATATTTGTTAGGCACCTTAGATCTTGGAAATCTTGTTAAAAATCTTAGTTAGTAGCCAAATGCCTTTTCCTCATAAACCTTTCCAAACTTCAATCGAGCACTGCTTTGTTTAATCCATTTTAGGGTCTCCTAAACATCAAAATTTAAGTATATTACTCCATTGATCCAACAGAAACTTCCTAGTTACCATTCACATAATACCACCATATCTTTTATCCTTAAATGTTTTGATTGATTATTTGATAGAATATAATAGTCCAGCCTCTGTGGAACTTATGATGCATTTTTAAATACTCCACACATAAATTTTATTTTTAAACTCAACACTAATATTTAAATGAGTTGAATTCAAAACAAATTTAGTCAAACAGTGTAAATCAAAACAATAAGTTATTTTATGGGCCAAAGGGAGTATAAAGCATGAATAAATTGAATGTATCACAACACATACACTTCTTGAAGTAACCTAATTTTAATGACAATAGTAGAACCATGAGAAAACTTCCAAGTTCTTTTCAAAAGTAAACCAACAAAAATTTTGATGAAAGAAAGAACCATCTATTGCAAAAATGCAAAATTACTTCAACGAATCTCTGAATCTCTGTGTGCATGGGCTATAATTCTTTCCTAGTTTCCTCAATCACGACTGAAATAGTGAAATACTTTTCCTCATTTCCATTTTATACAATTAGTTCCTTCTCTGTTACGGTACAAGTGCTGATGCCTTTGGTAGGGCAATGCATTTGATGTTCAAATTTTGTTCCTTTCTCACTTTCCCAAGGCATGAGTGACATGCCTTTGAGACAACCATAGGCAAATTAAAAAGTCTGCTCCTTGAAAAGCTGAGAAAGAGGGGCAAGCAGCTTTTTAGGGCAAAGTCCCTCGCCTTAGCCGCCCAAGGCTGGCAGAGAGGCAAAGCTTCAACATGGGAAGTTTTCAATCACCTTTTTTTATTCATATCTAGGAGAAAGGAGGGCACATGCGGGTTTCAAGCCATTACTTATTAGAAAAAAAGGGTCTGGAATGGGCATTTACTTATTAAACCTGAAGAATTAACCCAACTGCTCTACCAAACATGCGCGAACTTTTAGTGCCCTAAGCGGCAGGCCCCTCCTCACCATTGCAACTTTTGAGTCTCCTTTCCATAAGCACTTAATCAAGACTGCTCCTCCCCTCCCCTGACGGGGTGGGTAAATTAAATTTTTTCTCCTTTTTTGAAATGCAATGCTGCACGTTTTATGTTCTTTTTTAGATTTTTCATATTTTAATTAGTGCTTAGCATGTTATTAATAGTATATTTGTTACAATTTTTTCTGAATTACTGCATATTGCGTATAAGTTTGTAGTCATTACTATATTCATAGTTGTTAAGGCGTCGCTTAGGCGATAAGGCACTATGCCGTGGACGCCTTATCTGTCCGACTGTCCGCCTCGCCCAAAAACCCTCGAGGCATTAAGGCGCTCGCCTTTGTCGCCTTACCCTCGCCTCTGACCTAGGCACCCAATCTTGAGAAGTTTTTAAATTTTGAAAGCCAAGTTTTAAAATGTTTTGACTTAACGTCGCCTCTCTTGGGTCTAATTGATGAAGAGTATCTTGAAGATGACTATGATGTTGACTTATCTAGTGTACATGATGAGTCTATGGATAGATATTGATATCCATATGAATGATATGTTCATGGATAATTTTTAAACTTGCATGTTTGGGTGAGTAAACTAGTAGGATGGAGATGAACTTTTTTTTTTAAATTTGTTGTTATTTTGGTCTTCTAAATGCTTGTGAACACTTAATTGTTTGTCTCAATTATGTGTAGACTTTAATTACATATGTTGTGCTATATATCTATTTTTGGTTATATTGTTTGTGTGTGTGTCTTGTGTGTGTATATGTATGTGTGTGTGTGTATAGGTCGCCTAATTGTCGCCTACGTGTGAACCTAGTTGCCTAGGCGATATGAAGGTATGTCGGCGCCTTGCCTCGCCTTGGCGCCTTAACAACCTTGAATATATTTTTATATAATTTTCTGAATCCAAGAGACCCTTTGTGTTTCAGGCAGCAGAAGTAAAAGGCCATCCACATACAACATAGCTGCATGTTTTACGCATTCCACATTGGTAGGTGTTCTAGAGAGACGGGATTTAGGACCAGCCCCGGCCTAAAATGCATAAAATGTGTAAAATAAAACCGTGTTCGACTTCATTATTAACCTCAAAAGGGAACCTACTAAGCCAGAATCAGAAATTCCACCAAAACGAATACAAAAAAGGTAAAGAACACATATTTTTCTTACAATCAATAGCAAACACCCCTAGTAACTGGCTGGCTAGCTGACTACATCAACATTCAGCAGAATAGTGAAACCTAATCTGATGATAATAAGATCACGAAAAACCCTAAGTACAGAAGTAACACATACATATATGCATACAAACACTCAACTCTTAGATAATAAATATGTGAGGGTACAGAGAGAAGCTGACCTGCGGCAGTAAAGAGAGCGGAGAGGTGGAAAGCGAAGCCGTTGTACCGCTTGTTTTTGTCTCTTCTTGTGCTTTAACGTCGAGAAGCGGAGCTGCGGTGTTAGAGAGAGGGGTTCTCATCGGAGCACGGAGGATTTCACCATTTGATTGAGCTACTCGTTCCAGCAGAAAGCCAGGGCGGCGTCTCGTCTAGGCTTTGAGCCCAATGATGTGGGTGAAGTTTTGTAGTCCTCCCTTCACTTTATTTATTCTCATTTGACTTTTTCATATTTACTCGAAATATTTTTAAATTTTGGACATACATGACATACGGAGTAGAAAATACGGAGTATAATGAAGTGTAATACCCTACTCTGTGTATATTATTATCAAGAGGCTCATTTTGAAACATTGTTATGAATTATTAAATTTTTATAATATATACAGAGTATTATATATTTTTATATATAAATAAAGATATTAATAATTAAAGTATTATATTGAAATTTGTGATATATTATTTGAGATGAAACAAAATGCATCAAAGGAGTATTCCACTAATTTCTCCAAAATTAAATTTGGATGAAGAAACATTGTAAACAATTTTTGTGTGTCATATAAGGAGTATATTCATTCAATATTTCTTTTTTAGTAATTTCATAGTAATTGTCAAAAATTATAATCAATTTGTTGGGACTCGAGTACCCTGATCCTAATCACCTATTAGTATGATGTTGTCCATTATGGATTAAGCTCTCATGAATTTTTTTCGAACACCTCCCAAAATGATTTTGGTTCATTTATCCTTATCCCTCTAGAGTGAGACTTGGAGGCATCCCAACGAACATCCCCTCAACCAAAGGTCACACAAATGTGACCTCCTCTCTACTGATAATCTATTAGATCTGCCACCATCTTGTATCGTTGCAACAACTGCACGAGATACGCTGCCCGAAGGGCTGGAAGACTTTCGACACAAGGCATCAACTGTTGATTTCTTGTCTGCTAGGTTACATCATTTTTTATCTGCTAAATCATCTTGTATTATCGATACATTTTCGCGAGACATGACACATGACCTTCTATCAAGAAGACTTTTGCACAAGGCTCCACCTTGCACGCAGATCATTGCTTCTGTTCTTAATTCGGTTGACACCATGTCACACTAAGAATTCTGCACAACGCAATCCATCACTTATGCCTACACGAACTTGGGCTCTGATACCAGGGACCACTTGTACCCTCGTCTCAATCACGCATTAGTATGATAATGTTCGTTCTAGGTAAGGCCACATGGGTTTATTTTGGGCACATCCTATAACATCCTAATCCATTTAGGTCTGCAGCCCCTTTCGAACTAACGTATAAACTTCGTATTCGTAAACATTCAAAATATTTCAAATATTTTAAAACTTTATTCCATAATTAATTATTCAAAATAATAACATAGTATTTTAAAGTTGCAGAAGCTTAATAAATCACAATTACAAACATAATAAATTTACGTCTTTTAAAATAGTAATTCAAACTCACACATCCATCCTGACCATCTCGCCCTATCTGCCACCAGGAATTCATCACTTCATTCTTTTTGTTTACCTACGTGTAGCAAATAAAACATATTACACGCTCAGCTGTAAAGCTGAGTAAGGATATCTAATGCGTTGAATATCCATATAAATTGAATCTCGAATCATAATCAAACCATTTGATATCATGCACATCATATTCAATTCAAGGATTCATTATTCATGATATTCACAAAATCTTAATTCAAGTCATTTCATGATATATACAATATATACAATATTCATAATTTAGTATTTCAACAGTGCTCTTAAATTATTCTTAATCTAAGGCCAAATAATTTTGATAACAAGCTCTTAAATTATTCCTAGTCTTAGGCAATATTTCTAACCGGGCTTTCAAACAGTAAATAGTTTAAGGCAGAACACAAGAATCAATGATCCATCCTGATGGTGTAAATTATCGACCGGTATATCGTTTTAGCCCGGCTAAAACGATAAACTAGTCTAAAAAATACACCAAACTATAAACACGGGGATTTTTACGTGGAAACCCAAATCGAGAGAAAACCACGGGCCTTTTTTTGGCGGTACCTTGCCAACGGGGGATTTTTATTGATATCGGGGGTGTGTACACGGTACAAGAATCGGGCTCGGAAGCCATTAATGGTGGAGCTACAAGCTCTTTAAGAAGAAAATATATAAAACTCTAGAGAGAGAAAGTATAATGGGCAGGGAAGAGAGTGAATTTGGCCTCCTCTTCACATTGGGGGCACCCCTCCTTTTATAGGAGGGGGGAGGAGCATCTTCGGGGAATATTCTCTTATTCCTCCATTTCATTAAACAGGTCCGGTTTGACTGTTCTTCGTAAACAATTGGGAAATGTGGGCCGAGCCACGTATTATTTCCTATCAAGAAGTCCTCCACTTTTTTAAGTTGTGAGAATCATCAACTTGAAAAAGTAAACAAGTCCTCCGAGTGCTATCTTCGATCTTCGTACTTTAGATTCTTGACCGATTGATATTATTCCTAGTCCTCTGAGTCTTCATTAATTCTCCAGTTTCTTGAATCAGAAGGTTTTCCTGCAAAAATAATATGTACAACATTTTTTTTTGACCGGCCTATGCCGTGCTCAAATTATTATTTTTACCGAGGAGCTCGGAGTTAGAGTGATTAGACTTCGCACGAATAATTATTGTAACAAGAGCGTTGTCAGTTCGATAAAGCAACGATGCTTCGAGTAGTTATACGACACCGGAGTTAGTACGATGAAGCGGCGGTGCTTCAAGTAGTTATTTTGTCGAGACCGATGTCAGTACGAATTAAGTAAACGATGCATGATGAAATTAGTATACAGACGACATCGACGTTAGTTAATAAGAATTGAGAATGCTGCAGCAGCTTCGTTGAAGATCAATGTTAGTCCGGGTGACTGATGTAAATATCTTCATGTCTCGCGGAGACCATCTTCGATCAAAGTGCCTCAGATTGAGGGCTTAAATGAATCGGGCGTCCCCGATATGAGCTCGGCTCACTTTTTTGCTGAAACCAATGTGCAATCGGTGTACCCAATTCGATTGGGCTCAGGCTTATTGAAAAATATGTGTAAGACTGACCAGCGTGCCAGGCCAGGCCTGTGTCTCAGTCTTCCAATAAGATAATGCTGCTGGCCGGGCCAGATCAACATTGGAGAATTAACCATGTCGGATGGTTTCGAGCCCTCTCCAAGGTCCAAAATGCACCCTTCTTCCAGGGCCCCCTCTTCCGGGTGATTAAGTCTTTTAATGGCCCTTTGATACTTACTATCCTGGGAAGGCCTTAGCTCACCCCCCCGTTCAAGTCTTCCCTGAGAAGGGGGAAATAGGATGCGCCACGGTAGACGATCCCTCTTCTATTTCTTTTAATGGGCATCTTTTAGTCCCCAATCAGTTTGCCAGTCTCGGCTGATTCCCCGATACCGGTCAAACCTCATAGGCCCGTGTAAGTACGGTTCGAACCTTCTTCTAGGTCCAGCCCTCTTGCAGGCATACCCTCTTCCGGGTTTAATATTTTTTTATTTTATACTGAGCAAGACCGGTGTAGTAACCAGCGTGCCAGGTCCGGGTCTGTGTCTCAGTCTTCCTTAGTCTTCCTTGCTAGACGTCTTGTACAAATAAGCAAAATAACATGGCTTAATTTATTTCACCCTGTTACCCACTCCAATTTGTAGATAGTGGGATGTGGGCCCATTATGAAATAAGTGGGGAAGTGCCTCCTGCACACCTTTTTTTTGGACTGAAGTAATTGGCATTACTCCCTCGTCATTATCCTCTTTTCCTTTATGTGGTCGGCATCCATGGCTGTCCACCCATTTTTTTTTACTTGTCATCTTCCTCTTTGAAGTAGAGATTGCACGTTCCTGCTCCTTTTTTTTTCTTTTTTGTCATCTTTCTCTTTGAAGGAATATAATTTTGAAAAGAGATCGTGCGATGGTAAAATGAAAAGACCCCAGCTCCATCTCTCCTACACGATCACTGGTCGTTTTTTCGCTTGTCCTCTTCCTCCTTGGAAAGAATCCGGCTCCGACGACCTGGATTAACGAGACCACTGGTGAGCATGATCTATGCTGAAACTGAATTGACATTTTCCCCAGCGACGGAACCCTAGACCCGCCGGGAGTCAATCGAACGTCCTGGGAACTAATTCCTTCAATTAATTAGTTCCAAAGATGCGTTTGGACTGCCATATGATCCCTTCACGACCCCTTGAAGCGAAATGGAGCTTCTGAAGGAGAGGCGCGAACACACATCCGACACAAGAATGGGCAGATGCGACCCGGTAGAAGTGGACGATAGCCAAAACCAGTGGTGGTAGAAATTGCTCTTTTTAGAGGGGAAACGAGGTCCAACTCCAGCTATCTTGAGGCAAAATATATTTCCACCGCCGTAGCAGCGATGAGTAGATCCTGACGAGCAACGTCGAGGACTTGGAGCAGTGGTAGCGGCGCCCAGTGTTGCTGCGATTTCTTTATATCTGTGGTGATTTCTCACGATTTTCTTCCTTCTTCCATACTATCCTTTTTGCATATGTAGCGATGGGGTTAGTGTTCGATGGTAGAACGGCATCCTCCCGCTGCTCCACACCTGACGGTAGAGTAATGCCTCGATTTGGGACGAGGTATAGAAAAGTGATGGCGGTTCATAGTGAAAACCACGAACTCATGCGCGTGGGAGAGAATCAATTGGCAACAAGCTGCATCATCCCCCGTTTAACAGGGGCAGCGGCGGCAGTAAATGTGTGGGCCGTGATTGCGGCGCTGATGACAGGCCCATTGGCGGCGGTGGTGACGGATTCCTGTGGCAGCAGCATAAGTCGTCGGTGGTGAACCATGGCGGTGCCGGTGCAGATGGTCTCCTCCATGCCGTTACCGGCAAAGGAGGAGGGTTGGTCGCTGTCTTCTTCTGGGAAAAAAAAATTGGCTCGGTGGGAACGGAGAGAAGATCCTCTGCTTTGAGGCATAATATGTGGCCTCCCGTCTTTTGCTCCTTGAAGATTCTGCACAATGTCCTTGTCCGTCCAGAATGAATCTCTGATGTACCGAGACCGAAACCTGCGCAAAATGTTGCCGCCGCGGTAGCCCAGCTGCTCGAGGAGATTCTGCTTTTAATGTGCCTCACTTTTGCTTTTGAAAATGGTCTATTGTGCTCTGCCATTTTCATTGTAGTGTGGGGGAAATCAATTACCACACCACCATCTTCTCTATATCGGCAAGAATAGGAAGAGCAAAACATAGCTTTTTGATCAGGTCCCACGGGGTGGCGCCAAAATGATGGTGTAAATTATCGACCGGTATATCGTTTTAGCCAGGCTAAAACGATAAACTAGTCTAAAAAATACACCAAACTATAAACACGGGGATTTTTACGTGGAAACCCAAATCGGGAGAAAACCACGGGCCTTTTTTGGCGGTACCTTGCCAACGGGGGATTTTTATTGATATCGGGGGTGTGTACACGGTACAAGAATCGGGCTCGGAAGCCATTAATGGTGGAGCTACAAGCTCTTTAAGAAGAAAATATATAAAACTCTAGAGAGAGAAAGCATAATGGGCAGGGAAGAGAGTGAATTTGGCCTCCTCTTCACATTGGGGGCACCCCTCCTTTTATAGGAGGGGGAGGAGCATCTTCGGGGAATATTCTCTTATTCCTCCATTTCATTAAACAGGTCCGGTTTGACTGTTCTTCGTAAACAATTGGGAAATGTGGGCCGAGCCACGTATTATTTCCTATCACATCCTATGAGTCTTATGGATCACGTATCAACCAATCAGTGAAGGGTGATGATATCCCAAAACGAGTGATCCTCAAGTTTGGTTTGGATCTCGTATGTACGTTTTAACCCTAGATTTTTGAATTGGTCACATAGGTAATCTTAGAGTTCTTGTAGATATCATTAACATCAATTATCTAAATGAGTATGTCTTAGAGTTTTTTTAAATACTCTTAACAATACACATCATTTTTGTGATCATCAATATATCCACTTTAGTCATGATTTAATCATTCACAATCATTACTTTAATCAGAATATTCTTTAAAGCTTAATCATCACAATCATTAATCAATAGTATTCTTCATAATCAATCAATAATAATATCCAATAACAATTAGCAACCTAACATTGAGTGTTAACACCATAGCTTACTGTCATACATCACATAAAGTTTTTATTCGTCAAAAATATCATTTTTATTTCAAGAAATCATCTTTATATTGATCATAATTGATTGATATCAAAAATAGGATTCTAAAGCTCAAAAGTAGCATTTTTGGAAAAATATTCGGAACAATCCTTTTCCTTTGATTTTATTTTTTTAGTCAAAATATGATTTGACTATAAATCTAGTCAGCACATCTTCCTTTATTTTATTTTTTTTAAAAAATCAAAGTGTGAAAAAAATAATGGTGAGCTTTGGAGTTAGTGTGGGTGAGCTTCGCAGTCGGTGTGGGTGAGCTTTACAGTTGGCAGTGGTGAGCTTTGCATCATGTGACCGTAGCATGTCATCTCACCGTAAGCCGACTGGAGTCGATACCCACATGCACATACACATACACATACACATACACATACACATACACATCCACATCCACATCCACATCCACATCCACATCCACATCCACATACACATACACATACATCTACATGTACATATACATCTACATGTACATATACATCTACATGAACATACGTATACCCACACACACTATTTGTTCAAAATGAATATTCAAACAAGCTCATATATTATTCTATCAAGTTAAATTAATTAAATTTTTTCAAACTGATGTAACATATAAATCTAAAATATATGATTTTCAATATTTATACTCCATTTTATAAAACATTATTTTTGTTCGATGCAAGTGCATTAGTTTTTTAAAAGATTCACATCAATACTCTTAAAATAGCACAAGTTTACATAAATATTTTGAGATCCGTTAAATGACACTGATGCTCCTAGATTTTTTATATGCTTACATTGGTCCTCCAACACTGAAATATGTTTACATTAGTGCCGCAATATTAGGAGCACGAATATAAATATATATCAATTCTCGGAGCACCGATGTGAATATAAGAATATTTTGGGAGCATTGATGTTATTTAGGTCTTATCCGATTGAATATTTTTGGTATACCTTGCAATAATTTTAATCGAAAAGTATTTATATGTGATTCATAAGTTTACCATGTCTTCTTCATGTCTATATATCATTCGTTCTAACCCTGTTACAACGTTAACATCCCTCTCCGGGATTTCCAATAAAGATATAAGCATGTTTTCCTAGCATGAGAAGTCGACAATGTGCAAGCCAGATAAAGTAGACTTGAAGAGAAAACAAAATACACTTGAATAGTATATAGAAACCTATCAAAGTTGTGTTGGTTTTCTGTCATTTACACCCAATTATAAAGAAGTGAGTGAAGCAGTTTGAATTGAAGGTGGTGCTGGAGTAGAAGTGGCATTGTCTGTCCAGTTTGTTTCTCCCCAGTGCCACAACATGCTCTCCCAAAAGCAAAACTCTTCGAAACAGATCTGCAAACGCGGATCTTTTATCTTGATCTTCCAATGGCCATCTGTGAAGTTAGCTTTCTCGGCTTCCCTTCGATCCCACTCCATTGCAGCCTTCTGCTTGGATCTTAGCAAGCAGTACTGGTGCAAGTTCTCCGGCATTGCATCATGGACTTTCCACCATGTCTTGTGTGCAACATCACTTGCAAACTCGTGTAATTTCCCGACATTCCAGTTGCAATCATAGTCACGGAAGCACAACCACGGTTTCAACCCTAAATAGTGAAGAACATACAGGACTGGGGGATCTGCACCAAAGAGCTGTGTTTTTCTTTCTTTCTTCTCCACTTCATCACCTTCCCAGTAGTGTTTTAGAAAGTTCATGTGTTTCGGGATTCGGTGCCACCATGTGAAGATCTCATTCAAATACCCCTGGTCCCCACCATTGTATGATTCGATCTCGTTGATGTGGTCCATCAACAGCTTAAACGTGCAGTTTGATGGTTCCACAACCATCACCCCTGAATTGAACAGCGTAGCATTGTTTCCCGTTGCAGTTATTTCTGGCATTTCGAAGAGAAAATCAATATTTCTTAGTATTAGCATATCTGCATCGATGAAGATGATTTTATCATAATCTGTCAGCTGCCAGAGACGAAACTTGCTATAGTTCCATTCATTGTATGCATCTTGTTCAGCTTTTGGGTTCCTGATTCTTTTTATTGTGTGAATTTTCCATCCCGCAGACTCTAATCCTCCCCTATGATACTCACTAATTGTCTCATCTACAAGTATCACAAGATCCCGAGTAGAACCTGCCATCCGTATGCTCTGTGCTGCAGCTATTGCTCCACAGACATAAAACTGTGCTGAGTGCAGGATTGTTGCATAGGCTTCTCGATGTGCACTGCCAGAGTGCCATTGCTCTGCATAAAATATTAAAAAGAATTAAAGTGAAGCCATATTGTCTTTAATTACTATATTTACTACCCATGAAGGATAAACCATCTTCACTCTTTGAAACAATGCTCAGTCACAGAATTCAAAGACCCCCATAGAAGTGCAAACAGAACAGGATGTGATTGACCTCTCTCTAACATAAACCAGGTCCCTTTATTACCAACATCATGACTTAAAAGAGTCTTGACTAATGACTAATTGACTACTACCATCATTGTCTTCATTCATCACAATCACAACCTTTATCCCAACTATTTTGGGGTTGAACTGTTGGAGGCATGAAATTGATAATTTTATAATGGTGTGTGTGGTTCAAGTGTTCAGCTGAGAGTATGGGAGGTGAGGGGAGAGATTTTAATACTATTTTGTTTGGTGCATCAAGGTGAGAGGATATACTGATATACATAATATATTGACCTTAACTTCTTGAATACTTTCTCCGTCTCATTTACTTCCCTCAAACCAAATACCGTGCAAGTGTCCAAATTTAGTTAACACTATAAATTCATGAACAAAAATATAGTGAGAGTTTTACTAGTCACAAACTTTTTAGGGAGGAATAATGAGATGAAATGAAAACACTGATCCACAACTGACCTTGAGCATTCAGAGGAACTGCAAGTTCACATGATCCAACAGGTAGTTGAAGTTTTTCCCTCAAACTGTTTAGATTTGGTTTATATAGCCACATATTTCCTTCATGCACAACTAAATCTTTGCAAGTAAACAAATTTGGAGTCGGAAAACACTCGGTGACCAAGAGTACATGTACTTCATGATATCCTTTAGCAGTGGCAGCAAACCCCGCTGCCGCAAGTTGCAAGTGCAGACGAGCTACATCTCTTGACCAGTCTCCATGCTTCTTGCATGGTAGCTTAACTGCTATAAGATGAATGCGTGGTTTGAGTGGAACCTGAAGCTTAGGCAACATAGGACAAGTGGGAACCTCAAATTCTCCTTCTTCATCTATCCATTCAGGATACAATGTGTCCCAAGTGACATCATTTGAGACATAATCCAGGTTCAATATCACATGCTCTGCATCAGGGAATAGCTGCTCCCAGCGATTAAGTTCATTTTCATTAAAGTTTAGCAGTCCTAAACCAAAAGACTTATGAGCAAAACTAAGTTTCTCAATGACTTGTGACATTTGGCCCCATTCAATATCTAATACTGATGCATAACGTTGATCAACAGCATCCTTTCTTGTCCTTTTGTCTACCAAAATTGGCCTGCACCATATTCATTCAAAAATAGGTGTAAGAAAAGTGTGTCTGGGGATAGAGAACAATGAATCAGAAGCCCAGGGTTTATGTGATGCATTTTCAACATAGAAAAGCAACAGTTTCCTTTGCAATGCAGATGAAAATTGTCACTGCACTAATATGAGAAGGGAAAATATTTGGGTTGCATTTGGCATAAACCAAATTACCAGAAGAGTATCCAAAAGTTAGTGAGGCTTTCTAATGAAAAACTGATAATAAGAAAAATACATTACCTAGATTCTGAATTTGGTGTAATATCAGAACGAATTGCTGGAGAAAGCCATAGCATAAATAATGCTCCCAATGCGATAACAGCAAATGCAAGCTTCAGTATAGAGAACTTGCGGTTCAAAGACCTATCTCTAGTGGGGCTGAAGAGCGCCTTATCCCCCTCCCTGGAACTTTTACTTCTTAAAAATTTCTTTTTATTGGTCTCCTCACTAAATGAAACAAAATCTGATTAATATAGGAAATGCATAGAACATCAGCTAGAAAGTGTAGAACTAGATTGGAGACTGATCATGTAGATACATTTAATTAAGAATCACAAAGAATGACACAGGTGAATCTAAGAAAATATAGTTGAACCAAATTCTTGAAAGAGATTCAGATGGAAATCTGTATAGTCTATCTAAGTACTTTCCGACTCAGAAAATAACTTACACATATTGAACATATTTGATACTAGGTTAAAGAAGGGGCACAAGTTTGGGAATGGGCCTAACATATAGGGGTTTCACAACATTCAAAACAAAGTAATTAAGCTAAAAAAGTTATTTGGTTACTATGCTCAAGCTTTGGAAACATCTCTAAAACACACTTAAGATTGAGTAAAATTTAATTTCTTTTTTAGATCATGGCAAGAGCCTTGTGAACTAGACTCGTGCATTTTTTTGACAAGTTACTCCTTTTGTCCCATATAAATAATCATACTTCACAAAGGCACCGGTTTTAATTTTTAGTAAGGCACAACTCTTGGAAATAATAAATAT